GTTTGTTTGTTTGATTATTTTCTTGTTTTATTTTATTTTAGTTTTTGTTTGCTTTGTTTTGTTTTTGTTAGCATAACGGACACCCAATTCATGAGGTTTCTTCTTTTCTTCCCCAGACTGAAATCACAGATACAACAATAATGATGTCGCCGTCTTTCTGCTAACGACAGAATGCTCGTGTGAATACATTGTCTTAAAAAGTCCCTGATCATTCTGCTGGTTTCCAACCAACCAGCCTACATCATGTATTAGAGGACATCGATCGATAAGATCTCCATGTCTCGGACTACAAACTAAACCTCTCTTTTCATCCTCATTCATTACCTGAGCATCTAATATCATCTCACACCAAAAAACCATGACGTCACAAAACATCGTTGACGCCTTCGTCACTTCTTGTGCCATCCTCGTAACCATGACAACGATGAGCGTCCACGCTCAGACGATGCAGCTGAACTACACAGTGGAAGAAGAACGACCAGCCATGACACGGCTGGGTAACGTGCTACAAGACTCCAACATCCTCGACTTTGTGGACCCTGCCGACGTGCAGGACCTGAGGTTCAGCTTCCTCACCGAGGGGAATCCGGACGCCAATTTCTTGTGGATAAACTCGACCAGTGGACAGCTGCGGACGTTTTCTAGGTATGTTTCAACCTGTTTATTTATATTTTTTTTCAAGAATGAAACATTATCAACTAAAATACATTCTCGTTACAATGTGACAAAAGAGTTAGAGAAGAAGAATAATATTATGAAAAATCTTATTGCTTTAAAAAAAAAAAAAATAAAACACACACTTTTTGGCGCTATTTTGTCAGAATTTTTTTTGTTGCGTACCGCTCTTCTAAAACAAACAGGGCGTTATAGTAATACCTGTCACTACCTGAGTGTTTTGTAGTAACAATGTGTAAGCATTATGGTTTTGGAGATTTATGTGTGTTGGATACAAATATGAAGGTCTATAGATAATAGTGGATAGAAGAGCGTCTGCAAGGAACAATGGTTTTATCAAAAGTGAACTGGAAGTTCAGAGAAAAATTCGGCAAGTGTAAGATGTTTAATTATCTCAATCAATTCGTTCCCCAACTTACCCTCAGAATCAACCGAGAGCTGGTGTGTCCCCGGCAACTCACGTGTAACCTGAACGTGCAGACTGCTGTGCAGATGCAACTCGGAGCTTTCTTCATGCTCGTCAATGTCAGAGTCACAGTCCTGGACGTCAACGACCACACGCCGACATTTGACCCGAACGTCTTCGTTCTGACGATCCCCGAAGACGAAAGCACGGGCTCTGTCTACAGACTGCCCACGGCTGTAGATCCAGACACGGGCCCTGGTAACTCTGTCGTGGACTATAACCCAATTGGGATGTCCGGCTTGCCCTTCACTCTCATCGTCACCGGAACTGACCCCTCGAACTTTGCCCTCAAACTTCGACTGGACGTGAATCTGGACCGTGAAACGTCACCGGAATACGAGATGTTTGTGGAGGCTGTTGACGGCGGGTCCCCTAGCAAGACGGGGACTCTGACTCTGACTGTGGTCGTGGGGGATGTGAATGACAACCTGCCCATCTTCGATAGAGCTGAGTACGCCCTCAACATCTCTGAGAGCACACCCGTCGGCTCTGTGCTCACCACGGGTAAGGATATTTCATTCATAATACCATTACTACTTTGTGGGCTGTCGTTGCAGACAAGCTTTATAGTGTTGGAGATGGGCATTATATCAACTTAGAAATAGCACCTCGTAAAAAGGGAGAGTATGGATGGTTAGCGGGTGCTCTAGTGTGGTTTGCTAATTCTTTCCATTTTTTTGTCCTTGTCTCTCGCTTGTCTTTCTTTGCATTTTAAGTCGCTCTTTAGTAAATCTTTAATCGATGGCACTTCTATGACCTATTAATACATTTTTTGTTACAAGTGCTGTAAAACTCTTACTACAACTAAAACGGCAGGAAATATCGCCACATACATTTTGCCTAGCAGCTAAGCTATCGTATTCGATAAGTAAAACAAAAACAAAACTACAGACTTCATCTCTTTGCTTTTTTTTTTGTTTCATCACAATCTCGGGTGCACTCCCTTTGGCTCAGTCGGTATCATGCTAGACTGTGGAGCTTATGACTCTGGGGGATATCCATTGTTCGAACAAGAACTTGAGTAATTTGGGAGCGTTTTATGGCAATCCGCCTATTTAGCTGGGTTATATATGGGATGGACGTTAAATTTGGAGGTCTTGTCTCTTAATTAACTTTACTGTATTGAAATGGACATTGAACCTGTACAATTTTGCATTATCTTTCACTAGTACGAGCTACAGACAGAGACGTGGGTGAGAACGGCGCACTGACCTACGCCATGCCGGCCACCCAGGATGACCAGGTCGTCTTCTCCCTGTTCTCCGTCAACGCCACCTCCGGAAACGTCCAGACGCTCATCCCACTGGACACCTACGCCGGACGGACATACAGGTCAGTGCTAGTTACTCCCAGCTTATGACAGCAAACCCTCAAGCTACTGGGTTAAAATTGGACTTAATTATCAAGCTAATACTCCATTCTCTCTCTCTCTCTCTCTCTCTCTCTCTCTCTCTCTCTCTCTCTCTCTCT